AAAACATTGTTCTTCACGCTTTATATCCTTCACTGCAGTTGCCCATGATTGCAACAAAAAAAAATCCTGTACTCTGCAGGATAGAAAGCCGTGAGAGAGATTTTATGTTGAGGCACTTCATGTGTGTGCTGTTCACCATCACTCTCTGAATAGAATGGGACTTGTTGGAACAAACAACTTCTAAACAAATACAAAATACCTTTGTTTCAGTAATAGTGGTTTTGTGCTTGCATTTGCTCTTTTTATTTGTGTTTTATGTAAATGGTTGTGATGGTCAAGAAAGAAATGCGTTCCTCTAATGTATTCGATGGTGGTGGTCATTTGCTTAGTTTGGTAGAACAAATAGAATACCAAAAAGCTGTCATAAGTTAATTAGGATAAATTAATTTTGTAGTTCAGATTTTAGCTTTAGATGGAGAAATAAGAAGACATTTTGGGCATATGCCAGAGCCTGTATGTTCCATGCATGAAGCAGTGACATATATGGAGCCTGTACCCTCTTACAGGATGCCTCTGTAGTGTACAGGAATTTTATTCACACTAAAACTTTTGATCCTATTTAGACAGTCCGTACAGATCTTTCCAAAAATAATTTTGAAATATTTTGATTTTTTTAAATGCATGCTTGAAAATACTGTGTACCTTTCTAGTGCTTTATTAGGTTCTGATAAGCTTTATGCAGACAGCTATCTGAATAGCCATCTGAATTAGCAGAAAACCTATTACTTTAATGGTAGTCCCTATTTCTGGTTTCTTTTTTTCTGTCTTTGATTTTTTTGATGGTTACCTCCGTTGTGTGGTCGAATTTCATCATCACTGATTTTCCATTCAATATGTTCCACTATCCCATTGTCCCTTCTGTCTTACTTATGAATTCCCTGTAGAAGTAGACTTAACAGCTGTGTGTCTTGCACAGGAGCAGCACCCCTCTGGAGGCTGTTGTAAGATGTAGTAGCCTAGTATGATCTGGTAGTGTCTCCGCACAAGCAGGTAGTATTCATTGTGATGGGTTCCTGTGCTGCTGGTGTGTGTGGTTTCTGCATCGGAGGTTTCAGGGCAGGATGAGGATGTCGACCGTGGTCACTTTTACACTTGTACCACATGAAGAGTATTCCAGCAGAACAGGGTCTGGTGATTACATAGGGAATATCTTTAATATCTTTCCTTGGCCCTTCAACCCTCCTTCTTTACATCTCTCTGAAAGTGGTTTTCACAGTAATGATTTTTTTTTTTTTTTTCCCTGTTCCCACTTCTTTCCTGTTTACTCTCTTGCACAAGAAAGGGAAAACAGCATTCTCCTGAACTCCAGAGTCCCTGGTTCCTTCACCTCTGCTTCTGAACTGATATGCTGAAAAAGTACAGCTGTTTATGCCTCTGCAGGCTGTCAGTGCTGCAGCTTTGTGCTCTGAGGATGGAGCCACACGCATACCCGTCCATTGCTGCAGAAAAAAAATCCAAGTGCTCGTGCAAGGTTCCAGATATTAGAGGAGATACTCCTGTTGGAAAGCTATTGCTTTACTGAGCTGCTGCCTGCCTGCCTGCCTGACTTCCTCCTCTGTGGCCAGTGGTGGTGAGCAAGCCTAATGAGGAGGTTGCAGGAGAACCAACTTCTGCTAATTGACATCCATGTGACACTGCGAGGACGCTGAAGTTTAGGATCTTAGCCACATGCGTGTCCATGCCTTAATGAGGAGCAGTAAATGTCTGCTGCATTATTTTTATATTTTTTTAATAGGCAAATATTTTACATTGATTTGTTACTCTCAAAAGAGTTTTTCTACCAGCATTTCAGTCATTCAGCTCCTCTCAAGGAAGCTATATTTTAGCTTCTTCACAGCCTTGTTGGAGGAAATCCTTCAGTGAAACTGAGCCTGCTGGGTTTGTAACAGGATGAAGGCACCACTTCAGTTTTCTGATGACTTTGCACAGACTGACTAGGGAGAAAATGATGGTGATTAGCAATTGCCTACGAAAGAGAAATGTTAAAAGTCTGTAGGATTTGTCATGTAAAAGGTCTCTAGTTCTTGAAGTGATCGTGGCTTTGCATTAATCGCTTGCAGATTTTTTTTGTTCTATTGTAACCTGTAGGTGTCTTTGCAAAACTTCACTCCCTTCAAACAAAAAACCCAGTAGAAAATATCTCAGCAATGGCCAAGGGAGGTGTGCTGTAGAACGTAGTATCAGTGACCTGCTGGTGCAGTTCTCAGTGTAATGTACAATCGTGCTCCTCAGTGAGTTAATCTCCTTTAAAAAATGTAGCCACTCAGCCCATTGGAAGAAATATTAAGCCTTGCTTCAAAACCAAGTTCTTGTTTCTGGCAAAAAGCAGAAGTATGTAAATGCAGGAAGATGCATTTAGCATTCAGACTCCTGTGGGAATTTAATTGGGGACAAGGAATAAGCATTGAAGCCAGTAATAATTTCTGTATTTGGAAGATGGAAATTAGGGGTAATAAATTTAAATAATGGTTTGAGGGTTTTTTTCCCACACAACTTATATAAGAATTATTTGTTTTGCAAACCATTACAGTTAGAGAGGTATAATATTCCCCTCCAATAGCAGAGTGGAACTGAGGCTCCTGCATGCCACTTTGGTGTGCCTGCAGTTACTCAGTTCCTAGTGTGTGCTTTCACGTGTGTAAACTTTGTGTCTTTTCTTGTCTTTTGGCTTATGGACAGAAGATGTGCTTTCTCAAGACAGAAGGCTTGATTCTGCAGTGCCCTGATGTGTCCAGATGTTGCTGGTCAGGAGTGCTCCATTCCTGGCAGATCCAGAAGTGGTTTATGAGTGAATCTGGCTAAATAGTTTTATGTCCTGTGCTATATTCAGTCACTGGAGAAAATCTTGGTTTTGGCACTTCTGTCTCAACTGCTACCACAAGCTTTCTTAACTATATCCTGACAAAAATTAGGAAGTTCCAAATGTTAAGTCTGATGAATGAATGAAATCTTACAGGGAGCTGAAAATTAAGAGTTTTCCAGAGAGTGCCATAGGTACACTCCCAGATGTATTGTTTCACCCTGATCAGTGAGTTCTGTTTAAGATTTGGGGATAGCAAGCAGTCCCAGGCTTGTTACTCAAATAGAGTATAAAACCACTGAAATTTTCTTTGACAGCTGAGAACTCAAATGCACTTTTCACTGAAACGTTTAGTTGTTCTCCTTCTCAAAAACGTCAGTATTAGCCATAATGTCCTTAAAACGTTTTTTTCATATGAATTAAAAGAGCTAAAGCATGTGGTATTCTTTCTTCCTTTCAAAGTGAATACTTTGTAAAGTAGATTTCCATGGTTTTTTTAAAGAACCCTTTGCATAACTTGCATACACTGCATTGATAGTGATACATTGTCTAGAAGCTCATGAATTTATTTTTTAGAAAAAGCATCATTGTTCTTACAAGGTACGACTCAAATTTTTTCCTCTTTTGGACCTTTGGAGGATGAATGTATTGGTTATTGAAGGCCTATACCGTAGCTCCGCATGTGCTTACAATGTTGATTTGTAAGGATATGTGATGTGTTGTTCAGCTGTAATGACTATGAAGATGAAGTGTAATGGGGTGGAGACTGGTAAAAGAGGACCTCTTCTTTCAGCATCATCTTTATTGAACAGACCTTTGTAGGGGGAGAGTATGAGTACAGATTTCTCTTGAAAATTCACATGAATGTTTTTACATGCATGTTTTTCATTTGGCTGTTTGCATCTACAAACTTAATTCAGGGAGTTAGATTTGATCCACAAGTAGAAGTTAAGGCAAGACGCTGTTCAGTAGCTGGTAACGTATCTATGAATTACTCAGTTCCAGACTGGGTGAATGAAAAAGTGCCGTATAGATGACTATTAAATCCTAAGACTTGTGGATTTATGATCTCTATTTTAAATAATACACCTTATTGACCCTTTAATAGAATAAAATAAAATTCACTTTCCATACATATTTTGTGTCTCTTATACCTGTCTTGAATAGATTCCAGAATGAAATGACTAAGTTAGACACCTTTTGGCATGTATCCTACTAATGGAATTATTTATTTTTTCTATTCTATTTTATATTGTGATGGTCTTTGTCCAAATAAAATTAAAATCCATGAAGACTGTAGCTTTGTCTTGTGTACTGAGAACAAGAGGGAGCTCAGTGCATTGGCACAGAAGAAAGTTTAGAGTCAAGAATGAATGGAACCATGCTTCTGCTTTAAATAAAAGATAAATTGGTTACTTTTAATAGAATACACCAGTTAAAGCAGTCTTAATTTCCATGCAGCTTTATCCTGCTGTTCAGAAAGGGTTTGTTGATGCCATATGGAAGATAGTCTTACTTTTTTTATTTGCAGCAACCAGTTTTTCTTAACTGTCATTACCAAGACCTGTACAGCTTCTTAATTTATATACGTATTGTCTATTTTTAAAGAGTTCAATGGTTAGATCTTGTAATAGACAAAGATATTTCAATCCATCTCAATAATTACTTGTACATTTATGCCTGACCTCAAATATCTAAATCACTTTGATAAGAACATAGCTTTTGAGAACCTTGTTTGCTTCGATTTGTCAATTTTCTCTTTTTTATTCTTTTTTGTTTCTTTCTTCCCCCTTTTTGTTTATTAGCATGATTTGGATATGTTGCTTAAATGGATAGAACTGAAAGAAGAGATTTCTTTTTTTCCATGTATCTGAGGAGAAAGAAGTTTGTCCTCTCTGCAACTGTTTTAACATAATGTGTCATAATAGCCTTGTACTCTTGGACAACAAGGAAATGAACTTATTTTCCTATTGTGATGTTCATTTGCTTCATGTTAAGTTAGTAAGGAGTGTCACATGGCTTAAATTTTTAGAAAGTTTGCTGCATGAATCTTCCATGTTTTGGTTACAGAAATGTATTTCAGATTCCATATCTTCAGTCATGTGAAATGTTAATCATGTTTTGAGTTTAGTATTGTTAAGTCTTTTTTTCAATGTTAACCTGAATACCAAAATAACTAAGACCGTTCTGTGTTCTGCAGTACTTTGGAAGTTTGCTTGTAATATTCTGCGTTGAGCTGGCCTGTGGTGTTTGGACCTATGAGCAGGAAATAACGGTGAGTCAGAAAAGGAGGCTGCATTTTTTTCAGCAGAAGAAAACAAAGATTTCCATTAGCTAGCTGTTTTCTAATTGCTGTAGTGTTTATCTTTGTTCATTATTCCAACAGTCTGATTTCTAAAGTGACTGCCTTTTTTTTTAAACAGAGAATTCCTCTGGGAAACCTTGTCTGTCTGGAAGGTCTTATCTGGGTTTCTCCCCACTGCCTTTATATTTGAGAGCTAAATCTGCAGCCCCTGATTTAAGGACTTTATTTTTTGATAATTCTTGCTTAGTCAGGTTCTCACTGAAGTCAGTGGAAGTTTTGAGGATAAAGTATGAACTTCAGGCTTAAGATAAGTATTTGGAGACAGGAGATGTGAGAATTGGAGGAGATTTTGCTCCAGAAGTTCTTCATGTTATAAAGAGCTATAGCTGAGTGTACTCTGTGGTAAACAGTGTGTTCTTTCAATATACGCCTTGCTGTCTGCCGAAACCTTCACACTATATCCACAATGTATAAATGCCAGTTTTAAGCAAAACTTCTTAGCTATAAAACACACTTCTGTAAACTTGTGAAGAAGTTTTATCTCTGCCTAGTTTTTATAGCTGTACTAACCTTTAATTTTCAAACTGAAGACTTGTAGTTGTCGTGCAAGTAAATGGGTGTTGAGCAGAAATTAAATTGAAATGTTATTCTGCTGGCTGCTATATCCTTGCATCTTGTACTCAGTCTGGTACATTTTTATGAATAGAGGGACAAATATTTTCACTGAGCTGCTAAGATATACCCAATATACTGGTCACTCCAAGAGTGAGTAGCAATTACATTGCAGTAAGATGGGAGGGAGCCTTCTTGATATTTACACGGTATTGGGACCAAAGGAATTTCTGGCAGATTTGAAGTCTGCAGTTACGTGGCAGCACTTTGCATCAGCATCCATTCCCTTGTGGTACAGATTCCAGCAGGGTGTTCTACTATAACAGCAATTAAAGCTATCCCTTTACTTTAAATGTCAGCTTACATTGATGCATTTTAAAATTGGGAAGGCAGACAAGAGGCATGCTTCATCCTATGGGCACAGCTGCTCTCTGTGGGGGTTTTGCCAAGCATGACAGTTATAACCAACATCTATCTTTCCACAGAAATCTTATCAGTGGAAGCTGCTTTAAATAACATAGCCTTCAGTGCGCTGGTACATGCCTTCTCCAGCCTTCACTATTCAGTTAGAAAACCTGAAGTTACGATGTGTTTTAGTGTGACCCCCAAGCTTTCAGTTACCTGGTATGCTACTGAAACCCAAACCTGGGACAGTTTGATATAAGCTGGCATAACCCTACCATGTGCTAAGGCACTGGGGATACTACTTCCCTTCAGAAAAAACACACCTGTCCTTGCACCCCTTTGCCAAAAGAAGCCGCACTGAGCTCCACGTCTGCACCTTCTACAGTGGGTACTCCACAGTCCTCTGGTTCTTCCTTTTTCTCTCAGGAGTTCAAGTATATGAATGTGAGCATGCCAATTAACAGGAAAAAAATCTCTCAGTGACTGCTTTTCTTTTTTTGTCTCTTTTCTTTTCTCCCTTTATATAGATACTTTTTTTTTATTCCTTATCCCCTGAAATACTCGGGTGTTTTGTTCTCTCTTTCCATCTTAATTCCTCTTATTCCATTTGTCCTAACACTACTGCTTTTCCTGTGATGGAGTGGGCCAGACTCAGATTTCTTGCTGCTGAGACCCATAGGGAATGTGGCAGTCTGGAAGAGCACAGTTGTTTTTCAGTGTTTTTTTCATACCTGTGCAGGTCACTTCCCTAGAGCATGCTTTCTCCTATTCTACTTGATGAAGATAAGAAGACTCTGTCTTACACCCATGGAGGTGATTTGATGTTATGTTGGTTTCAGCGTAGCATGAAATCACATGAGCCCCTGGTGGGTTTCAGAGAATTGGTTGGCATTAGTATATGTGGGTGGGTGATGTTGAAAATGTCACTGAGGCATAACCGCCTCTGCTGCTCCAGTATGGGCTCTCCTTGGCGTGTGTGCAAGCTGCTCTAAGAGTCCTTGTATAAACAATTTTCCTTCCAGCTCATGATAGCTCTCAGTGTGAAGTGTGCTTCATGACTAATTTATTCCACCTGCAAGACTAAAAAGCCAGTGTGGGTTCTTGGCTTACTTGGGCATTGGTCAAGCCTTGATACTCATTAGAAAAATACTAATGAATAAGTAGGTCTCAGTGGCAAACCGAACTTTACAGAACTTGTGCTAAAATCACACCACCATCTCTAGTTTTGTCTACATGCTACAGAAAAATGTTGGTGTATAGTCAAACAAATGCATCACAAGATCATGTATTATTGTGCACTGCTGCATGTATGAGCTGACAGGAAGTTGTTAAGTAGATATATATCGACATCCTTAGTTTGACATGTTGACATTCTTGGAGCAGTCAAACACACAGATTCCAGTATCCCTCCATAGTTCCAGAATTCAAATTTCTTTCTTACAGTGGGGTTTAGTTTGTTTTGACTTGCTTTTAATTTCCTTCTCTCACTTCTTGATTTTTTTCTTTCCCCTACTTTCCATTGTTTTCATAAAGAAGTTGGACGCCTTGTGTTACGTGCATAACCTTGGACTGTATTCAACTCAAATAAGATAATAAAAAAATAGTCTAGCAAAAATGAGTTTAATTGCAGTGATATCAAGCATTATCCAAAGCAAGCAGAGCGCTAACTTCCAATGCAGTGGAAGGAGAAATTCATCGTGTGAAACCAAATTGCTTTATTATAGTGACCAGCATAATTGTTTGTGGTAGAAATATTCTGTGATACTGTGTTTAAGTATTTTTAGTACTCTACAGCTAACATTTTTTTATGTGGACAATTGCGAGTTCAGTGCTTTATAGCTTAAGAAATAAAAATTCTGCTAACTGGCAGGTGTGTTAATTTCTGTGATATTATTAATATATTAATATTCATGATATTACGAAGCTTTACCAGGGCATCAAAAATATAGTATAACTTAGTGCTAATGAAACATTATCAGATTACGGCGTTAGTCAGGTAGTGATTGTCCCCATATTTTTGTGGAGCATCTAGCACAACAAAGACCAGGCTCTTTGGGAAGTATTGTGATTTTTTTTTTTTTTCTTAGATAACATTTATTGCTATTTGCAGAATGCCCTTACTGTTCACTCCAAATTGAACAGGATAGGTAAGTCACAGCCACTAGAGAGGGTAGGCTCCCCCACTCTCCAAGTGAAAGCTGATACTGCAATTGTGATTTCTTTCACCGTGACTATTAAAGCTAACGGGAACAAGGCAAAACTCAGCATGAATGGTATGTGTGCCTAGAAGGGCAACTGTAAAATCTTCAGTTCCTTATTTTAGTTTGGCACACTGAAATTTGTGCTGCTGAACAGAAGTTAGTTTCTTATCTTGACTCTTAACTGCATTGTATGCCACGTGCCATAGCACTTGCTTGTATTGTTTCTAACAGATTACTGAGGGTCATAGTCCAATGGAGAGCACCAGTACCTCACCTCTGAGTAGTAAAATTTGAAAGAAAAATACTTCGATAATCCTTCTTTCAAAAGAAAATATTTATAAGACTCTGAGTGTGTGTGAGGTAAAAAAGTTCACAGGGCCTCATTGTGTACACTTGCTTGTTAGTACTTGAGCAAGATACTGAAATCAAGTACATTCAGGATACTGGCATGCAGGACTCCAGACAAAGCCAGAAGGCCACTGAACAGACTCTCAGGGTAGAATTAATCTCAGTTAATTTTATGTATTTAGGAGTTAGATGTTTAAATACAAGTTTCTCACCTTAGACAGTAAAGTGGATTTGAGACTTCAAGGGAGTGATTAATCTTCTGTGTTTAAAATATTTATCTTGAGATGTATTGCCCCATACAGCTGCCTGTTTCTGTCTATTGACTAAGATGATACCAGGGAGATACCTAAACTGGGACATACAAATGCCATCCCTGATGACTTGGATGGGGCCTGGTTCAAGTTTTATGCCATGTAAAAAAATCTGGTAATAATGTAATCAAATTGTACACATCTATCTCCGAATCTTTCCAAAATGCAGCTTATTTTTCAGTGTACATTAATTTGTAAGCAAAGAATACAAATAACTTGGTATTTTAATAAAGGCTTGTAAATTTTCAGTATCGTAAGAACTGAGGCACTTGCTTTTCTGTTTCATTTGCATACAAAGTTATTTTGGTCATTGCACTGAAAAGATCCCAGAATAGATGGAAATTCTGGGTTTGGAGCCACAAGCCAACTGATCTGTTGTGTGAATCCCTTTTCTTTCCTTGCTCCAGGTTCCAGTGCAGTGGTCTGATATGATCACGCTGAAAGCCAGGATGACCAATTATGGCCTACCTAGGTACCAGTGGCTGACCCATGCTTGGAATTTCTTCCAGAGGGAGGTAAGATGACAGTTAATGTATGAGTTGAAGTAATACATGCTCAGTAAATGTCACTTGTCTCCTAAAGGAAAAGGTTTGGTTTTAGGTGAATAGGTAAATAAGTGCAAGTTCCTTTCATGTGAAACGCTGTGTAGTGATGGTATCTTACAACATCACTGGATACCAACTCTTGGGCTTTTGTAGCCCCTAGACACTAAAACAGCAAAAAAAGAATATTACTCCATTAAGTTAATTAATAGCTAACACTGTATTCTCCTTTGTCACTAAGGTTAAGACACCAACACCTTTTAGAGTTACTATAAAATTTAAGAATACGATGTGTATAAAATTAAAAATCTGCAGGTAAAGTAAAATGAACATTTCTGTATGCTATTTTAATATTAAGCTGTTCTCCCCTTCCTGTAGGCTCCTTTAATTTAATTTCACGGCACTGTCACGTTTAAGATGGGTTTATCTAGAAATGAGTGGGAAAGGAAGTTTCCAAAAAGATGCCAACACTGTCTCTTTGACTGAGGTTTGAGAAAGTGATCAGGGTTTTTATTTCCTTTGACTGGAGGGGCAGGAAACAAACCAAAAAGCTTTCTTGTGTATTCACAGCTTTGCCTTCTAGCCTACTAAAATTCAGAACTGTTTTTAAAGAATGAAGTATTATGTTACAAAAACATGAAATTGCCCAAGGTAAAACCCATTAACTCCAAATATAACTCACGTGCAGGAAGAGAACTCTTTAAATGCCTGTCATTTTGCTGCCCTTGTTGAAATGTTGAAATCTATCACTGTTGCACAGATTTCCTGTTTATTTCAACATTTTCTGGCAGCACTTGATAAGTCTGTATTTATACTCAAACATGAAAGAAAGAGTGAGGACTGCATAAGGTTAAATACTTCCCCACCCTCTCCTGTTCCCTGCCCTAGCTATGCGAGTGCTCTGTGAAACTGAGTAATTCATACACAGGCAGAGTGTTTGTTCTGTACCTGAGATAATATAAATGAATTGTCTCTGTTTCTTTGAATGGAGCTGATACTGTATTGTGATTTAAATGTATAGGTTAATTAAATTAAAAGCTGTGTCTTACCCTCCTTGTTGTTGTAGTGTCATCATAGTGGCTGGTTTTAATATAAATATTAGTAAGAAAGCTTCAACTATGCCTTAACTCTTCCAGGGGAGAAATAGTTCCTTTTAGAAGTTAGATTTCCTATAGTCCATCTCTGACCAGAGGAATGATTTGGGGAAAGTTTGAAGTGAACTGAGAAGGCTCTTTTACAGCTCCTGCTTAATTGGTGGGCTGCTGTCATTTCTGTTCTGTCTGCTTGTAACTCAGATGGTGGATGCGTGAGCTTGGTATATGCTTTATGCCTGAATGAGCTCTATGCTTTGCGCCCTTCTTCAGTCAGTGTTACAGTTTTTTTCTTAAAGAAAAAATCTGTAATTACGATTCTGTTCCCGAAGATTCAGCCCTGATCAGCTTTGTGCTCACTCTTCTGTATCTTTTAACATCTGAGAGAGATGGGAAATATATTTTTCTCCCAACCCCCTTGCTGGTCTAGTATCAGAGTTGTTACTATGCTAAGGAAAGTGGTAAGGGGTAAGTTGAGGTCAGGAGGGAAGAACTGGATGGGGGGAAGAAAAGATTTGAGAGTAAGAAAAGGATGTTTAATGAGGTGGTCTTTGCAATTACAATGAGGAGTCAAAGCTTGAGCTTTTGTTAGAAAATCCCATGTTGGGAGTATTTTTGCCTGACTAATGAACTGATAAAGACATTAAAGCTGTGGTGAAAAAGGAAGAAGTGAGATTTGTAAGAGGACTGGTGAAGTCAAGGCACAGTGTCTGCCAACACTGATTGACTTGATTGTAAACGAGTGACATGGTATGCAGGACTCTGGCTCTGAAGCAGGTAAAGCAAATGTTCCCAAGCCCATGGGTCAAAGCAACCAGGTGATGTCCAGGCTGGTACCAGAGAACATCCAGATAGAAAAAAGTAGCATCTTGTTCCTGCAGCAATGTTTTTTTTCAGTCATATTAAGTTCCCATCCAATGCTGAAGAAAATCTAATGTAACTGCTTCAGCCCTTTTTTATGTGAAAGCAGCTAGGAATGTGGTAGTCTGTTTGTTTGGCTTTAAATCTCTCAGTGTGCTTTGCAGAGGAGAAGAAAAGTTGTTAGTCCTGGTGGGTTTTATAGCCAATTATGGCTCATCTGCTTTGCAGCCAGACTTCCTACTTTTATGGTTGGTTCTGTTGCAAAGTTTATTTTAGTGTGATACCCCTTCCTTCCATTTTCCTTTCAGCATTTGTGATTTCTACACCTTTTTGCTCACTTCTACATTTTTTTTTTCTTGTATTCAGATAAATCTATGCTTTTTGTCATTTGGTTTTCAACAGATGTGTCCATAGTTGTAGCCTTACAGCAGTAGTCATCACTAGTAAGACCTTAATCATCTTTTCCTACTACTTCCTTCAGCCACAGGTAAACTTGTTCATTCGTCAGTCTTTTGACATTAAATTATCATGTGTTAGTTCCTTGTAGTAAGGATAGTAGAATTACAGGGTAGAACAGTTTCTATGAAGCATCCTTTGAGGGAGCAATTTGGATTTAAAGGACAGAGCAGTATCATTGACTGTTTCTGAGGTGTTCGTTGCTCACTGCATTGCATTTTTCATGTTGTTTTTATGTCAAAGTATAGCAAAAGAAGGTATGTTGAAGCTCTTATAGGCGTTTTTAGTCTTACATAAATATTTTGAAAGTTAATAGGAATTTATTTAGTTTTTTTGATGACCTACTTTTATGAAGTAATGATGAAGTAGCATCATTATTGCTGATTTTGGCTAATCCTTTCTTTGCAGTTTAAATGTTGTGGGGTGGTGTACTTCACAGACTGGCTGGAAATGACAGAGATGGACTGGCCACCTGACTCCTGTTGTGTCAGAGAGTTCCCAGGATGCTCTAAGCAGGCACATCATGAGGATCTCAGTGACCTTTATCAGGAGGTAAGAAGAAAAATGTGGATATTTTGGAAGGGTTTGTGCATTTTTCCTGATCCAGTCATTTTCCAAACTCATTGCTTGTAGTGCAGCAGAAAGGTTTGTATAGTAATTTTGTTTACGGAAAGTGTTTATTGTGTTTATTTACATTTATTATTTATTAATGTTGAAACCGGGGAGAGGGAGGGAGAAGGGAAAAAAGAACGAACCAAGTCGGCCTCCCACTCTTACCTGGAAGTGAGATGAGTTAGTAGCAATGCAGTTAACAATGAGATATGCTTAAACATCAAGGTATTTGTTTTATATTGGTTAGGCTGGAGTTGAAATTTGCTCCAGTCAAAAAATAAAAAATTAGTTTTGGTGTAATGTCCAGTCTCCAGCTTGCCAAGCTAAGAGAAATTCTACTTACCCTATGGTAATAAGGACTCTAGTGGTATGTACAGTGAAGGATGCTTTTGAGAAGTCCTTTGGAAGATGAGAGCTCTTGTTAACAAGGCTCATGCAGGGAGGCATGTAATTCAATTGCTGCTCTGTGAGCATGCATAGAAACTTTGTGGGAAAATGCTCTTTCTCTCTAACTCTACTACATTACAGTATGATGATAATTTTAAAAGAATAAAAAAACAAACAAAAAAAAACCAAACAAACAAAAAAAAACCCAAAGCCAATAGCAACCCAAAAAAAGCTTAAAACCAGTGGAGGACCTATTTGAACTCTGAGTGGGTAAAGGAGGTGATCACAGTAGCAAGTCATTAGGGTTCTTAGGTTGAAAATCATAAAAACAAGTCTGCATGTTCTCTACTAAAACTCCTTTAATTATTCTGACAAAAATGTGGTCTAAAGTCACCTTTGTCTGGAGACTGCTTTGCTACCTACCTTTTTTTTTTATGCTAATAGACCTCTGAAGACCTTTAATTGTGCGTTCAGTAATGTCAGAATGACGGCAGTCGAGGCAGTCCAGTAGCAACAAAAAACATGTCTCAGGTAGTTAGGAGGACCTGAGAAGAGGTGCATTCTTCATTTGCTTGCTCTAAGAGTAATGTAGGGTGCACAGGAAGGAGGGTGGGTCTGAGAAGCATGCTTTCAGATGCTGCAGCATTAACTTTTTTTCAGTGGACAGTGCAACTCTGCATTATGGAAGAGCACCCAAAGAGCCATTTTATCTTGTCCCAGTCTCAGCATTGTTCAAGACTCTGACTTACAAGAATGTATTATGTGGCTCTTGTTCAGGAGCTATGGAGAGATAGCTCTGAAGCAGGGGAGATTCACTATATTAACAAGCCAAGGTGAATATTAGTTATTGCCAGGAAACAGTCAAGTTTTGGGTAAATGACATCATCAATGGGGAGTGATTTGCTAGATTTGTATGGCATTGACTCTATGAGCAGAAATTATACAATCTGTTCTGGACTATCAGACATCCATTTTAGGCCTCGTGTGCTTCCACTAGGAAGAGAGAGGGTAGAGCTGCCAAAAGGCAGGTGCCTCAGAAGACCAGTCTATGCTAGGAAACCTTAAAGACAGTGACAAGGGCTGTTTTCTTTCCACCAGCTACTTGTAGAGCCTCTCCTGCCTTATGGCAAGGCTTGCGGCTTTAGAAGTGCCAGTGTCTGAATGGGAAAGCCATTCAGGCTTCTTCTGGGACCTGCCAGTCTCCTCCTACACATTTTTGAAGAACACAGTGGCTCGCTCTGCTATAATGGTTGCTTTTTGTAATACTGTTGCCAGTATTGACACCATACAGATGACCTCAGCCATAGAGAGGCCTCAAGGAGTGTAAGTGTATGGAGGCTGCAGAACGTTCATTTGCCCTGAGCATCCTTCCTGCTTATGTAAGCAGTGTCACTCAATGAAAAACCAATCTTTGGGCTCAGAAAGCTCAGAAAATTCTGAGAAAGAGTACTAGTCACTGGAGTGTCTTGTCAAAACTGCAAGGTTTTCTCATCTCTTCTGCTAACATTTTATTCCGACAGCCATATTCCAGGAAAGTGGTTCTCTGCACACTTCATGTGTTCGGGTTCTTTTGGTTCAACCTGGAAAAAATTAATAACCAGAGATGATGATGATGTAGAACAATAAGGGCTGTGTTAAGACCCACTTGATAAAAAGGAAGGCTGCCTGGCTATTTTCCTAAAAGAAACCTAAAGGGCACGTTTATGGTTCTTCCCCTACCATACCCCAGAGAATTTTTGACGGATTCAGCTCTTAGCAAAAATTTATTTTTGGATGTCTACTGCGGAATCCATTCCAAAAAGGGACGGGCTGTGTTCTGTTTTACCAGCCATGAAAATACTCCATTGCTCATTAGATATGCACAATATTTGGTTGGCAAAGCATTTTTTTTCCCATGGTGCTTGCCTGTCAGCTGTCTCGCAGGCTCGTACAGTATACTTGCTAATATGTTTATCAATATAACACAAAACCAACTTACACTTGCAAGGCTAATCTGTCTGAATTCTGCTTTGGAGAATTGAAGGAGAAAAGCTTTTTTAGAAAGTGATTCAAACCAAACTTGCATAGTCTGGTGGTGTGATAGGGAGCCTGATGAGATTAGCTTCGCTAGCCTAAAATTGGCTTATGTAAATGGTTTGAAAGTCCATTCTGGTATTTCAGAAAAATTCTTTGTAGCACTTCAGAAAACTGAAGTTTGGTTTGGCTGGGATTGATAAAATTGTTTTGTTGTAGCTGTGCTGTAATCTTCTGCTGGCATCTCAGAGCTTTCTGTAGTCTAAGTTGGAATTCTTCACAAAACAATTTTTGTAGAAAGGAAGGTGGCTTACTTATAGTTCTCCTTGAGAGTATTTTTGGCAGGAATCATGTTTCCCCTGCTGAATTTTAAAAGCTATTTTTCAAATGTGTTAGTCTTGGACTGCTTTTATTCTGACAAGCTTCACCTTTGGTGCAGTTCCTGGAACAGACTAACCTTAGAAAGAGTGTGGTTGTGAGGGAGGTGCATCAGATGACGATGTGGCCTTTGAGGTCTGTTGTGGTTTGAGGGCAAGGGGAACTCTGCCCATCTTGTGCTCAGGAACTGTAGCCTGATAAAATGATTGGTAGGAGTTGATATCTTAAAAAAAAAAAAAAAGAATAAAATCAAAATTGCATGTTCAATATTTGTTTCTTTTGTTTTCTATCATAATTTTGAGTATAGTCAAAATCTGAGTATACAGCTGATCTGCTGAATATGCTGATGGTTTATATTTTCTACTTTGAGAAGTGCCTTATTTAAGATCTGGTCCTTATTCTATGATGTTGAAGTAAATCATAAGTATCTGCTTTGTTTCCATTTTAAGACTGAAAATATAAAATGGCCTTTGTAATAAATACGAATCAAGCCTTTAATCCATATCTCTGTAGGAGTTTGAAGCTATTTCTTCTGAATGATCGCTGCAAAGTTTTATACTATTTTTGAGTTGTCAACAAGATCTCCCTGTTTAGTGACAAACTTCTACTTTTGCAGAGGAAAGTATGTTTATGTACTCTTTAATTGCAGGCTACCAACTATGAATGTGTTGCATAAGCAGAAATAAAATTCATGAATATGAGAATAACAGGGGTGGCTGGATATTTCTCAATTTTGAAACTGATTTTGAACATGTATTAGAGCAGAACTGTAAGAACATCATTAAATGGAAGGAGGCAGTCTATCTAGATTGGGCATAATTTGTCTCAGTTATGTGTCTGTACTGCAGGAGGTGTAGGCATTAATGTTACTGCTCTCTGTTAATGGATGTTTCCTCTAGGCAACGAATGAACTGAATTTGAATACTGCTGTGGTTAAGCATTTTTAAATTGTGACCAGCATGTACCTTCATCCCTTAAAGTTATCAGAAGTATTAAAATGCATCCAGTTTCTCTGTAATTAAAAACAAATTTGGAAAGTAGTGTAATTACAACTCTGTCTTGTAGTTGAGGGAAAAAAATACACCAATATGACAATTTTTGTTCCTCACTGAGTTCAATTACATTGCTTTTACTACAGTGTTTTGGTTTTGTTGGTGGTTTTTTTTTTTCCCAAGTTTCAGAGAATCCACATTTACTCATTGTTCTGTATCTGAACTATGTTAATGTTTAGAAAGTGACACAGTGAAATGATGAATGGAGCAAAGACTAAAATCCATTAACTTACTCTGGTAAAATTATCATGTAGTACATTAACTTTATTTAGATCCTAAATAAAAATCTGTTGACTTCAGTGTGAGTTTTTTGTGTGAGGCAAGAATCGGGCCTTTCATCAAAAAGATTCAGGACTGTAGCATTTGAAATTGTTGGCTTTGGAGAATTTCAGTGTGATTGAAAAGGGTTATTTATCATGTCCTGTCTTCAGATTCTGTCACTTTGATCAATTGCTTTCTTCTCATATAAAAGCTGTAAGAAATACGTAGTAAGGATAGAAACGCAAAAATGATATTTTTAAGACAGTGCCCATTTTGATGGGTTCCTGTTGTCATCTTCTGGGACCGATGACTATTGGTACTCATGGTGTTATCCCATCCAGTTTGTTACTCTGAATTTTCCCTTGGTGGCTGTGTTCCTTTGATTTTTGTGCTGTGAAGCCCTTCGAAGTTTAGAATAGAGAATAAGCATTGGCCAGAGTAGCTAAGGGCCCAATCTTAAAGATTTTATCCTTTCTAAGACTGGGCATCACCTTTCCTGAGCAACAAGCTTCATAGCTTGTGTTTGCACTGGTATGCAGCAGGTTCCAGAGCCTCTGTGGATCCTTGTGGATCTTGTGGATTACAGAGAACTCTGTGGATCCAGAGCTCTCTGTGGATCCTTGCTGCCTCATGAGGGCTTGGGAGCTTTCCTGAAGCCTTGTACAGTAATTAGCCACATCAGCAAACTGTGGAGCATGCACTGGTGTTTTAGAAAGAGCTAAGTTTCCATTTCTTGTTTTAACATAGTTTTCATCAGACATTTTCTGTGTAAATAATAATAATTATTATTATTCTGTAAATATATTGCAGAGGTGGCGTATGTGACCATCTTCTTCATACAATATGTGGGTGCTTAGCTCTTTGGAGCAGGGTCTAGCTGCCTGCCTGGGTTTGTGCAGAGCCCAATGCAGGGTAGGTTGTTGTAGCTACTCTCACAGCAGTTTGGGACATTACTGTGCTTTAAGTAGCAACAGCCCAGCACAAGGTATGAGGAAAAACTGGATCTTGCTATAATACCATCACAGTAATTGACAATGAGGTTTCTGTGTTCAGATTGGAAATTAAGCCAGTTAGTTTTAAAACATGTAGTCTATGGATAGGGGAGGTAGGTGAAGTGTAAGTAGCAGCAGTGGATATGCTTTCTGCAATGAGAAGATGCTTCTAGTTCAAGAATAGAAAGGAGTAATTTCACATGTATGTTGTATTATTACCACTAAATACTAAAGAAAGTCTGTTTGTACCCACTGCATTCCGGAAATTTGTCAGAAATCCTCTGTTAAAGGTTATTCTTTTTGATGCTCCTTACTCAGACCGTGTCTGGAATGTAATAATTTTTCTACTCTCAAGGGACTTTGTACAGAACTAATAAACTGGCATATAATGAGTCCAGATAAAACACTAAGAGTGAAAGGTGGGAAGAAACACTAATGAGATAATGCAGGCCTGTGGATCTTTCCTAGAATATTGTTTTAGATTCAGATTGTGGTATTATTTTTAGAAAATGTCTAGAGTTTAAAATAATGGACAACCTTGAAGATCTGCAAATTAAGGAGAGAAACAAGATGATTAAGAGGATTTAATGGCTTTTAAACACTCACAAAACCACTTGAGTTTCTTGAAAAATCAGTGATAGTTGATAGGAACGCAGATCAACTTTGAGTGATTTCTGAATTGAAGAGTAGCATAGATCTCTTGGAGCTTGTTACGTGCAGTAGACACTCAGTGTAGGCGAAAATTTAGAGTTGACATTATGGAAGAGATTAAAACGTAGGCAAAATAATTTTTGAAGTATTGTTTGAAGGAGGTGAGAGATAAACTTTCGGGAGCCAGAAAAGCCAGCGCTAAGTAGGATGAGACGAGCCTTGAGAACTGCAAGCAAAATAATACTATTTTTTTAAATCTATTTTTGTTTCATAGGGATGCGGTAAAAAAATGTACGCTTTTTTGAGGGGGACGAAGCAATTGCAAGTGCTGAGATTTCTAGGAATCTCTATTGGAGTAACACAGATCCTGGCTATGATCCTCACCATTACTTTGCTGTGGGCTCTGTACTATGACAGAAGGGATCCCGGGGCGGATCAGATCATGGCCCTGAAGAGCGATGCCTCGCAGCAGCTGTCGTGCCATTCCGTGGAGCTACTGAAACCAAGCCTGACAAGGATCTTTGAACATACATCCATGGCAAACAGCTTTAATACACACTTTGAAATGGAAGAGCTATAGGTGATGCAATGAAACTGAGAAGTCACAAGGGGTTTTAATTGGGTTTTGTTGTTGTTTTTGTTCTGTTTCATCAAGTATGCCAAACATACCAGTCTCCGTGTGCTTCAGAAAACAGCTAATAAATGGAAGTGAAGGCGGCCAGCACAGAAAGAAGGATAAGCCTGTCAGCCTCTTAGCCGTGAAACAGAGTTGATTTTGTTTGGTTGGGTTTTTAAAAGGCACTTGTTCACTGGGCACAGTAATACTTAACTTATTGTCACAAGCTCTGTGATGTGTAAAATACTGATTCATTGGCAGACAGACAGAACCTCTAAGGAAGCATCACAGGAAAGGAAGAGACATACTCATCTTCTGAAGAAATGACTGTGCTTTGGGCAAACAAAATGTGTTGAAATTAATTGACTTTTACATTTTTAATAAGCCATTTGGAAAAATGTCTTAATCAGGGATCTATGTATATATAATTGTGTGGTTTTGTGTGTGCATGGAAAGCAGAACTACAATTCAAGTCAATACTTGGATTTAAAAATTTGCAAGAATTGTAAAAAGAGCAAGATTTTCTTTTTTCTAACAAAACCTTTATCTTAGCTGTTGTTAAAGATGTTCTAAAACTTCTATTTTTATCTAACATAACTGTTTAATTTTTGATTTTAGATATATTAAACAGGGATTGAAAGCAAAACTATGACTCTGGACAATAGACTTTAATTCTTTGAAACAGTTTGTTCTGTGGACTGCTTCTTAGTGAAAAGAAAGAAAACGTTAAACATTCTTTCCAAAATGGGAATCAATATGGGAGTAGCACAATTCTAATAGATAAATCTTTTCTCCTGTCTGTGATTCCCCTGAAGGTAGAAACAAAAGACTACAAGGAAAATGCTTACAGTTCTGGATGCTATGGCAATAATTGTAAAAGTACATAAGGTAGAATTTTACTTTGGTGGCTTCTTCATTAAGAGCTCTCTAGTGGCTTAAAATGCCAACTGGAAAAAGCGTTAAAATGTATTTATTGAGGTGGGGAAAGTGCATTTTACTGTATTTTTCTGAACAATGTTTATTTCATAGGATTATTTTTACAATCGGCCACGCTCCTGAAATATATATTTGTTCCACTGAGTACAGTAGTTCGTGGCAAATGGGTTTTTAAAAATTCTTTCATTTGTTCTGGAATTTGTAAAACAAAAGAGGAAAAAAATGAAAAAAAAAAAAAGGAAGGTGTGATTTGGTAGACAATAAAATTACTTTTGTCTTAAATTCCATAATGACTTTTTTTTATTTTGAAGTCCTGGAGTGCAAATGCTTTGGGTGGGAGTTGGGAAGGTCCTCCTGCTAGTGAAGGTTAATTTGACATGTTTTTACACATTCCACTTATTCGGTCGTGGAGAAACTGCGTTGTAAGTTTCATTTACTTTTTTTTATTGCTTCTGAGAAAGGTTCTTAAGGGCTCATGAAACTAAGCTCTTCTGTTGTGTGGGCTGTTTGGTTTTTAGCAATCTACATGTGGGTGTAATTATTTCATGGGTAGTATTGCAAGCGAGATTACCTTTCTGCTTTTGTACCCTTCCTACAGATGCTAATACTTATATTGGGAAGTAAGAAAAAGACTAAAGGATAGACATTCCCAAAATTTAGCTTGGAGTATCTTTATCAGAATTATTTTCTCATGCAGCATTCAGGAAGCCCTGTGCCCAGTGTTACCGCACGTGCAGAGCAGACTTCCATCCTTCCCACTGCTCAGCCTGGGCGGTGTTGCTGTAGCTAAGGCTGAGGCTCCCATGTAGAAAAAAGGCAGATGTCTGAGAAGAGCTGGTCTATATCCAGGCTTAGACTTCAGAGCGCTACAGCAACCTGTGATGCTACACAGTGGATTATTGAGTCATTGGGTTTTTTTCCCCTGTTTCAGAAAAAAAAGAAAAAAATCGTGGAATCTATTGATTATGGATTGCATGTACACAGCTACATTCAGCGGTGGGTTACAGCTGAATGTAGGGAATTTCACTATAATGAATGTAAAAAAAAGGGCAGGATGAAGTCCTGCCCTTTGTCCCAGGAAATCCTAACAATGTTTTACCCAAGGAGTGTCTGTGGAAGCTCCCTTAGCCCTTCTTCAGCTATCCCGAGGACTCCCCGGGTTACCAGTGAGGGTTGCCTGCATATCTTCTCATGTCTGGGTTAGAGTTTGTGAAGGAACAAATGTGGCAAGCTGTGCTAGGGCGATTCATTGGAGAAGTCCACAGCTAGAATAAGAGACACTGGCAGCCCAGGTCATTTGGTTTTAGGCTTCCCAGGTGGTGAGGAAGTGCTGTCATTAGGTGTAGCCAGGCTACTTTAAGAGCAGAGGGATTGGTTGGGGTAGTGGTCCTTTGGTACAGGACCAACCTCCCTGACAAGTGTTTGTGGACCCCCACGACAGTGAACATCTGTGCTCAGGGTAACCTCACTTGGCCTTGGCTACCCAAATCCTGAGCCAGTCTGTGTCAGTATGGGGCTAGTTTCATTAGGAGAAAGACCCACATGTCAGAAATTACAAAAGTATTCCCTTCCCTGGTAAGGTCTACTGATAAGTACTGTGGGAAAGAATCCTTGTATGCTCGGTATCTAATCACATTTGCTGAAACAGGTCTCAGCCGTAGATTGGAACACTTTAAAACTTCTTACTTTGACTGTCCTCAGGCTATGAGGTGTCTCTGTTTTTCTAGGCCTTGTTCAAAGAACCTTAAAATTGATTGACTAGGCTGCTGTGAGCCTGTTGTTTTCCTGTAGAGCTTTAGGATACATGTAGGAGAGAGGCTGCTTGGCAAGAGGGGAACATTTAGAGATACTTGCAGCAGTGAAAACTACTTCATCCTTTTATTTCCTTTTTTCCCTCAGTTTTGCAGGAGTACCTGGAGGAGAAGGGTAGTGTGTGTTTTTTTTTCTCTACAGCATAAACTGTAATGAAACAAATCTTTCTTGTCACCGTGAACAACCATGGAGCTGCTCCTTAGTGGTTTTCACCGAACACTTGAAGTTGAGGAGAGCAACTGTGTTAGAAAAGGGGTCACCCCCTGCCTGCATCAGGTGTTTCTGTTCAGCACAGGGAATCATGCCAAGTCTGTGGAGCTGAGTAAGGTTTGCACCACGCAGCCACGACTTGGGAGTATGGGATTGCTTTTAGGAGGCAAAATTCTCTATCCCTGGTCTTTGGACAAGGTATTGCCTCATCTGCCAGCAGGTTGTATGACAAAGCTTTCTGAAGGAAATAAATATAAGGAAGTACATAAAGAATAAATAGTGAGAAGCTGTTGGTCACAGAGACTGTACAATTAAAAATTATGGATGAAGGCATTTTCAAATAGTTTTTGAAGTGTTTACCATGAAAATACTGTATTGGGTTTGTGTGGCAAGGCTTTAGTGGCGGGGGGGGCTACAGGTGTGGCTTCTGTGAGAAGCTGCTAGAAGCTTCCCCAGTCTGTGATGCACCTACCACTGGCCAAAGCTGAGCCCATCAGCAACAGTGGTAGCACCTCTGGGAAATGTATTTAAGAAGGGAAAAATAACTGCACAACAACAGCTGGGGGAGAGGAGTGAGAATATGTGAGAGAAACAACTCTGCAGACCCCAAGGTCAGTGAAGGAGGGGGAGGAGGTGCTCCAGGTTCTGGAGCAGAGATTCCCCCACAGCCCGTGGGAAAGACCCTGGTGAGGCAGGCTGTGCCCCTGCAGCCCATGGAGGTCCAAGGCAGAGCAGATATTCACCTGCAGCCCGTGGAGGACCCCATGTCAGAGCAGGTGGATGCCCAAAGGAGGCTGTGACCCTGTGGGAAGCCCACGCTGGAGCAGGCTCCTGGCAGGACCTGTGACCCTGTGGAGAGAGGAGCCCACGCTGGAGCAGGTTTGCTGGCAGGACTTGTGACCCCATGGGGGACCCACACTGGAGCAGCCTGTTCCTGAGGAGCTGCACCCCGTGGAAGGGACCCACACTGGAGCAGTTCATGAAGAAACATAGCCTGCAGGAAGGACTCATGCTGAAAAAGTTAATGGAGAACTATTTCCTGTTGGAGGGACACTGGAGCAGGGGAAGAGTGTGAGGAGTCCTCCCCAAAGAGGAAGGAGCAGCGGAGACAACGGGTGATGACCTGACCGCAACCCCCATTCCCTGCACCACAGGTGGGGAAGAGGTAGAGAAATTGGGAGCAAAGCTGAGCCCAGGAAGAAGGGATGCATAGGGGAAAGGTGATTTTAAGATTTAGCTTTCTTTCTCATTATCCTACACTGATTTGATTGGTAATGAATTAAACTCCCCGAGTCTGTTTTTCCTGTGATTCTAATTGGTGAGTGATCTCTCCCTGTCTTTATCTTGACCCACAAGCTTTCTATTATATTTTTTCTCTTCTGTCCAGCTGAGGAAGGGAGTAATAGAGCGGCTTTGGTGGGCATGTGGTGTCTAGCCAGGGTCAACCCACCACAAGCAATATGTTTAATTCGTGTGAATTGCTATTATTGAAGTGAGATTTTATCTAAAACTTTAAAACTTCTGCATGGTTGACTACATTTCTTTAAAAAGAAAAAATTGTGATGTCCTAAATACTTTAAAATTTTTATGCATCTACTTGTTTTTTATTCAGTGCTCCCCCACCTTCAGTTTTTTCTCATGCATAGCTACTCTGAAAATGGATACCTTAAAAGTAGGTAATTCAGGCAGGTAAGGAATAAGTTGTCCAGGTAATTGCATATATCTTACAGACTTTGTCAATCTAAATATGTTGTTCACTCCTGACTGGTCTTTTAGCCATACGTTTACCTATCCCATCAGCTGATTGCTATTCCAGAGCGCCTGATAATCTTTGGATGGCTCCATGGTCATTGGATAAATCGTGGTGGGCCCCAGGTGCAGAAAAGAAAGCATATGACCTTAAAAGAACCCTCCCTGCCCAAAACTTAGTGATCCTGTGACTTCACTAATTTGTCCTCTCCTAGACTAGTTTCCTCTCTGAAAGCCACCCTTCTCCCTGGAGCAGCTGAGGTGGCATTGTGCTCTCCACTGCGAAAGCCACCTCTTGGCAGTCAGCGCGTTTCCACAGCGAGTACACCCAAAACCTCAAAATGTAAAGTGTACATCTTCAGCTGGTCCCTTGGAGCTATCTTATGGGAGGACAGTCAGTCTCCTTAAAAATGCTCTGGGAAGGTTCACAGGCAGGTATTACTTTTACCTTTCCCCCTCCTCCCAGAGCGATGGGCTCCTGGCAGAGGCGGCCGTCACGCACGCCAGTGCTACCGCGCACACAGCTGATAGACCAGCATCATCTGTGCTGCCAGTCACCCTTTGTGAGTGATACGCAGTGTGTTGTCACCCGCTGTTACACTTCAAAAGGGGTTTGATCTCATCTGTGCACTAAGATTTTATCAAAGGAATTTGATACCAGGTTTGAGGAAGCTCTGTAGCCTGGGAGGTTCAGCAGAGCAGTCAGTGTGTGAATGTATTGAAAACGGCAAATTCTTTTTTAAAAGTACAAACAGAGAGGTGGAGTTTATATTTCTGGAAATAATTTAATGCCCTGGTATTCTCTGCTGCTGCAGGCTGGGAAGAGAAGGGTGATGGCCACTCATAAAGGAGAAGGGCAGCCCTCTGTTACAGTGCTGCAGCATCCTGGTCTTGGTGGCTCTGGTATGGTTTAGATGCACTCATGGGTTGCCTGAAATTGATGGTGGGGACATTCATTGCCCCTTATTGTTCCTCCAATCTTATTAGGACAAAAAAAAAAAAATAAAAAAAATCTACAAATAAGTTATTGCAAAACCAGGTTGACCCATTCAAGCATGCAGATGTTTTATTTAAATATTCCTCAAATGTCTATTTATTCAGCATAACACATGTATTATGCTGCCTTCTGAAATACGATATGTGACTGTCAAACAAAATTGTCAAAACAACAACCTTGGTTTCTTTGTATGATACACGGAAATAATTACATTTCATGTACAGTACAGATGCATTTTACACTGTCATCAACAGTCATTCACTACCAAAACAGCATTTAAATCACCTAAAACACCAAAAGAATGTGTATTTCCCAAATTCAGAATAAATTAATGATTTTGCATGTGACATATGGAAATAGAAGACAGGACTGGAATTCTGCAAAATCATATTAAATTATTCCTTAAGCTGCATTAAAAAAATGAAAGTACAAGTTGCTTCAGGG